GGGCCGGCCCCCTGCCCTGCCCCAGAACCACCCCAGGCGCCCCCTTTTCAGGCTCAGGGAGGCCAGGTAATGGCTCACGATATCGGTCCCGCTGTCCGGGGTAATTACGAGTCGCGGGTAACCCCACTCGACCTCCTAGGAATGCCTGCACCACTAGAATTTCCTTTATATTCGAATCCCGCATCCGTGCCCTCTTCTTTGAATAAATAAGATTCCTAGGGGTCTCAACCAACCTGGTAGCTTTTTTATTTAATGGCTTCGAGTGTACTCCCCTTGCGTATTCCATCCACCACCACCCCCCCCCCTCTCGCTTTTCATTTCTTCATTCTAGTTCTGGAGTCACCATCTGATACATGCTTGCTTGATGAAAATTATATATTGGCATTTTTTATCATTTCTTCGTCCCATTGTGACTCTAGTTATGTATCTTTATTATTATTATTATTTGGCGTCGGACCTATTGATCTGTGCAAGCAGTATTAAAACGTAAAATATTTAGATGACACTGATTGGTACCAGTGCAGCTGGATATAAAAACCGAATATCATATGAAGAATGTCGCAGTTGTTTATGCAATTAACGTTTTTAGCATTATGAACCTTTTTATTGTTCATCTGATCAACTCACTTCGTGAGTTTTTGATATCCTTGACGTTACCTATCTGCTTTTATTATTCGCTATTCTTGCTCATTATTTTTGTTTAATTCCTTCTAACAGCTGCAACTCCTACATTGTATTGTCATCCTTTTACAAAGAAAAATCTATTATTAAATCTAATAAGCTGAAAAGGACACAAACCTATGCGTCGAATAGTTCAAAAATTCTCAGGAAATGTTGTGGCTTCTCGCCTGGCTGGGCGTCTCCCGGTCGTGGGCGTGAGCCTTCGCATAGGGAGTGTTTTACCCCTGCAGGCGGCCTGTCGCTATCAATCCCAAAGCACTTCCAATGTCGAAAACCCCGTGGACGCCCCGGAGGACCTCAAGGCGATGGAAAACTTTGATGAGGACGTTATTGTTGAACCGATCCCGGACCTGACCAAGACCGCCACTACGAAAGATGCGAACACGACAGAGGAATCGGCGAAACCCGCGGTCGATGCGGAGAAAGTCGTGGGCGAAAGCACTGAGTTGGGCTTCAAAACCGAAACTCTCCAACTGCTCGACATTGTCGCGTGCAATTTGTATAGTGACAAGGAGGTCTTCATCCGCGAGCTCGTATCTAATGCCAGTGATGCACTGGAGAAGCGCCATCTGTTAGAGGTTAGTAATCCCGATTATGAGCGAGAATCCGACGACGAGGCCCCGCATATCTCCATCAGGTGCAATCAAAGCAAAAGTCGCTTTGTGATTCGCGATACGGGCATCGGGATGACGAAAGAGGAACTTATCGAAAATCTCGGCACGATTGCCGGATCCGGTAGCAAGGCCTTTGTGCGTGAACTACAGAACAGCGGCAAGTCCGCCGCGGATAATATTATTGGACGATTCGGTGTTGGTTTCTACGCCTGTTTTATGGTCTCTCGCTATGTACGAGTGTACAGCCGCAGTTCCAAGAAGGACTCCAAAGGCCACCTATGGGAGTCCGACGGAACGGGAAGCTTCAAGATCACAGAGTGCGAGGGCGTTGAAAAGGGCACGAAGATTGTGTTGGATGTGAAGGACACTGAGCTATCCTTCTGCACGCCGCAGGTGGTGGAGCGGGTTTTGAAGAAGTACAGCAACTTCGTTTCCTATGAAATTACCCTGAATGGCGGGAAGGTGAACACCGTTGAGGCCCTATGGGCAAAGGAAAAGAACGAAGTCTCCGAAGAAGAACACATCGACTTTTACAAGTTTATCTCCGGCAGTTATGACAGCCCCATGTTTCGTCTGCATTATTCCATCGATGCCCCGTTGAGCGTACGGGCGCTGCTGTACGTACCTCAGTCCCACACGGAGAAATACGGCGGCGGCCGGATGGAATGCGGCGTCAATTTGTATTCCCGACGCGTGTTGATTCAATCCAAACCCAAAAGCCTTCTCCCGGATTGGCTGCGTTTCTTGAAAGGGGCAGTGGATAGCGAGTCAATTCCTTTGAACGTTTCACGGGAGCACACACAGGACGGTAGCATGATGCGTCGGCTCTGCACCGTCCTCACCAAGCGCGCGATCCGTTGGTTTGAGGAGGAAAGCAAACGTGATCGCCCCAAGTACGAGCGTTTTATCAGGGAGTACGGCCCTTTCTTGAAGGAAGGCATTTGCACGGATCAGATACACAAGATGGATCTCGCGAAGCTTCTACGATTCGAGACGACCAAGTCGGATATCGACTACCCCTACGTCTCGCTCGACGAATACCGAGACCGAATGCAGCCCAACCAGACTAATATTTACTACCTCGCCAGCCCCTCGAAGGAGATGGCGCTGCAATCGCCGTACTTCGAGCAGTACAGAGAGAACGACCTCGAGGTCCTCATCTGCACGGAGCCGATTGATGATTTTGTCATGCAGCACCTCGAGACCTACGCGAAGCACCGGTTCCAGAACGTGGAGATGTTTGACGCCGACATGGACGGTTATGTTCAGCACAAAAAGAAGACGCTCGGGGATAAAGCGGAGGATGTGAACATCTCAAAGAAGCTAAGCGAGGTCCAGGTCAAGGCGCTGTGCGATTTTATCACCAAGCGAATGGTCGGCCGCGTCGGCGTCGTGAAGGCGACGGACCGTCTGCGGGACAGCCCTGCGGTGTTGTCCGACCACGAGTCTTCCCAAATGCGTAAGATTTATCGCATGACCGGCCAGGCAACGGGACCCCCACCCAAGTACAATCTCCAAATTAACCCGCAGCACTCGCTCATTCGCAAGCTCTATACCATGTCCCAGTCGGAGGCGAATGAGACGGTGGAAACTGCGGGGCTGTTGTGTGAACAAATTTTTGACAATGCCATAATTGCCGCCGGCTTGTTGGAGGACCCACGGGCCATTGTTTCGCGTTTGAATAACATCATGTCGCGTATGGTGGAAAGTGTTCCGGAACCGACCGCTGATCAGTAGTGTATGGTTTCTTGTGTTTCCAGATTTATCTTTACAGAAATGTTAGCTGTGTCTGTGGGCGAGACGTGTTATTAATCACATTTAAGGGATTTCTATAAATGCAAAGCGTGTATAACTTTTCTTACAATTATTTAAAGGTGGAAAAATGGTGAAAGTAAGTTTTTCTTGGGCGATTCACCTTTGCTATTTATCTTTAAAAAATTAGTAGTACTAAGCTATACCATTATTAGTCCTACTTTATTGACAATCAAAGTGATATAAAATACTTACGTAACAGATAGAAAAAGAGCCAATGAATGAACGTCAGTGTTAGTACAAACTCAGAAAGTAGTTGACATTATTAAGTTATTTCTTATTACGCTCTTACCAATCATATCGTACGATTATTATTCCTTATCCCGATTGCCAGCTATTCTTCTGTATTTCGTTCACATAAATACTTATTAAGTTTTTTAAACCCAATATTATTATTGTTTTTCAAACTATTTATCAATAGTAATAATAAAGTAGTGAAGAATTTTAAGTATCTAAAATGGATTTCACTCTATAAAAAGCCCTATCTTGAGTTCGATCGTTAGCAAAGTGTTTTTCTTTCCATGAAAGGGCCTGGGTTAATGCAAACCTTCTATATACCCTTCCAATTTATTCCGTTACTTTCCTCTATCTTTTTGGTTTCAATTTAAATTCCTTCTCCGTGCCATTCGACATCCCAAAGGGATCATTTTATGGTGGCGAGCAGGAAAAAGCTCAAACGCATTTTCTTTCCCCCCCCCCCCCCCCACCACACACAGTCTGGATCCACCAGAAGCGCATTCGCCAAAGACCCCCTTTGCGCCCTTCTTTTTCGGTGTGAGGGACACAGCCCGGGTCAAGTTCCACCTCCATGGGCAGCCACTCCAAGAAGAGTGGCCGCGG